GCTAATCCAAAGTCAACGCAACTTCCGGTCGCAATTGATATTCAGTTTGAGAGGTTGCTGGGTTTTGTGGTGCATGATGCGACTTGCGGTGGTATCCGGATGTCTATCCGGACAGCTCAATGGCGCCCATTCATTGGCTGTTTTTCGACCAATCGCGTGCATGTTTGCGCCACACGACGACGCGACGTTGAGGGCAAGTGCAAGAACGACCGTCTCGCGGTCTAGCGAAGACAAGTACTCCATTGTCGACGACGAGCAGCAAGGACCTAGATGCAAGGATACGCATTGAAGCCGTTAAAATATCTCCCGAGCAGAGGAGAGCAGCAGAGGTTGTGTACGTAGCCAGGCGTCATCCCAATCTTGAAACCACGAGGAGAACTCAACCGCAGTCCCGGTAGAACTCTCAGTCGGTCGGACATGTGCTACTGGCAATTTAGTTCTTTAGCATCTGACTGACATTGAACTACCCGATGTAAGCGGGTGGGCAGACGCTACTGTTGGATCGAAGCCGTTGTCCGCTTCATTGCCTTCACGGTTTAGGTCGTGGCGCCAGCGATGTATCGCACTGGAGAAGTCCAAGCCAACGAGATGGCGTGTGAGCAAAGGGCCTGCTTCGCACAACGGCGCGTACTGCTCCGTGCAACGACAGTCCTGTCGCAAGGTGTGGCCGCTGTCAGTGTCCGACACCATGTCCAGTCCATGTGCCCAATGGTGCCAGCGATGAAAACGCTATTTGATTCGAACGACATGATGCAAATGTGCCTAGCGCGCGGGCAATTCCACGAACGAGCCCTGTCGTCGAAGTGAGAACGACCTTAATAGATAGATAGATAGATAGATAGATAGATAGATAGATAGATAGATAGATAGATAGATAGATAGATAGATAGATAGATAGATAGATAGATAGATAGATAGATAGATATGACGTCAGGTGCGAACGAACGTGTATGGTCAAAAGTGCCTCCCACAATATACTAGTAATGTACATGTGCCATGGATGGACTTGTCTTGGACTGTTGATAACCGAGATGCGGCGTCAAGGGCAATCGAATCGTTGTGTGTTCGCTTTGTTTCGCTACGTTCCCATCGACAAGGCGCGTGGCGTCGCCCGACGCAAGCTAAACACCCCGCTAGAACCGCCTTGTAGTACTTGAACCTTGTAGTACTTAAACGTTTCGCGACAATTGTAGCGCAACGCGCTGCGATTCCGCACCATGCGCGAGAGCTTTTAGAGACGAGCTCGTTGTCGAAGGGAGTCAAATGACGCAGCACTGCTTTTGGAGGTGGACTTGCGACTCCAAGCGTGTTGCGACGTCGCGGCACGGACGGGGCTTCGTGGAGACGAGGCGCATGTCGGAACGAGGTGATCGCGAAGCCAGGCGCAGGGCGCTCATCATGCGGAAGAGACACAATGCTTGGGTATGCAGCAGCAAATGTTGAAGGTGCAACGTGGTCAAGAACGCGGCGCAAATGGCAGCCGCTTCGGGCGCCTCGGGACGGAAGACTCGGTCGTTGACGCCATCGCACAGCGTTCACCGTTCGTACAACATGCAGTACACCATCCAACCAAAATCGAAGTTGCAGAAGGTTCCATTAAGGTCTCGAACCAGGGGCTACCGCGGCGCGGCTTGGCTTCGAGCCATCCACACTGGAGATGCCATGGGAATGCTGTCACGAGCTCATCGCGGGAGCTCTCAAACCCACTATCACCTCCATCCAACCTCGACAAGGCATGAATGGGACTCGACCGGGTTTGCATTCAGCGAAACGACGTTGGCTGCCAACGTGGTTCGCTTCTTTGGCGGAGCGGTTTGTAGCCGCGATGTGTACGATGACGTGCTAGCGAATACAGCGCACTGGTTCGATCAATCCCGCGCGATCCATCCGACAGACTCGGACGCCCCACTCCGAGTCTAACTGGCTGCCTAGGACAACTGCGCTATGGGAGCGGGTACTCTGCGCAATGGCACACTAGGGCTACGACGATGGCTCGCTGTTCTAGAAAGTGTCGACGACCAGTAGCTGTACATCGTCCCACCTATCTTGCCCGACACTCGAACGGCGACGGGCGTCCATACCGCGCACGCAAGACGACGCAGCTGCCTCGGCCATGCCAAACCATTGCAATGCTCAAACAATGGCGGTGACAGAAAAGAAAATCGCCACAATGACAGGCTGGAGGGGCGAGGGCCAACGGACTGGCGACCGGTCCCCACACCAGCCACGTCGCTCGACGGCCATTCATCCAGCCGGTTGGTGGTCTCTGCCACAAGAACGCGCGTGAGTGGCCGTCGACCGCACGCTCGGTTCAAGAAACCAGCCTTTTTCATCGACATTTGCTGCGACATGGCATGTCCCGCCAAAAGCAGCCAATCCGATCGCGTCGTTGCCGTGGGTCGTCAAAATCCACAGAAATCAAGCGGCCCCGTGTCGCACAACGTTCGCCCTGTCTCCCGCCCCGCGTTCTCCATGGAGCATCTCATTCTTTGTTTGGTTTGGTTCTGCACAGCCGTCTCTTTTCCTCTTCTTCGACGACTAGTATAAGCATGCAAAAGTCACCGTCGTGCGAAGAGCTTCCGTTCCTGGCGATGGCCAAGTCCCTCGCCTCCTCGCTGCCGTCGCCGTCGCCGTCACCGACGCACCTGCACGCGTCCATGGGCATCCCGGTCGTCGACGTGGAGGTCTCGATCGGGTCGGGGCAGACCTTCTTCGGGTACTATGTGCAGTACGACATGGGCCTCACCTGCCCTGTCACGCACCGCGCTTGGCGCGTCGCCAAGCGCTACTCGGAGATGCTCGCCTTCCGGTCGACGACGCTGGCCCACATGCGCACTGCGATGGCCAGCGTGTCGTCCCGGCACTTGGAGGAAGCGCTGAATATGCCGTTCCCGAAAAAGCACATGGACGCGGAAAAGCCGCATGTAATTGCGGCGCGCATCAAGGGATTTGAAGCCTTTGTCGGCCACCTCTTGGCGCTCTACACGGACGTCCGGGCGTCGGGTGCCACCGCCATGGAGGAGGCGCTCGCCACGTTTCTCGCCGTGCCCGAGGACGTGCGGCGCGTGGTTTTTGAGCCCGCGCCAACGTCGCTTGTGTGCGACGACGATTGCACGATCTGCCTCGATGCGTTCGAGCACGAGGACTTGGAGGTGGCGGGGGCGATCTTGAAGCTGCCCTGTGGCCACTGCTTTCACCGCGACTGCCTCCACGACTGGTGCAACCGCGCAATGACATGCCCTGTCTGCCGCGGCCCGATCACGCAGATCACGGCCTTGTACGGGCCCCACAGCGACTAGAAGCGTGGCTGTCTTCGTCTATTTAACATTATTTTAACGACAATTTTGCGTCCAACCATGCGCCTTGTCTCGGTGGAGATATATATTCGATGGCATGGTCGCAGTAGCAACCGCCGTACGAGGTGGCTCGAACGAAGGCGCTTGGGACACCGATCGTTGCCACTAATCCCCACACTACGCTGTCAAACGTTTTTTCATGGAGATAGGCGAAGGTCTTTCTGCATTGCGCTCACAGCCAGGAGCTGCTGAGTTGAGTCATATCAATCGATCAATCTATCTATCTATCGATCGATCAGCATTCGCTCAAAACTAACCAAGCACCTAAAACACACATCCTTAGCTTTCGTATCCAGTGTGCTGGATCGGTGAGGACCAAAGAACGTCCGTACTGATATATGGATAGCACATCGCCAGACGCGTCCTGTGTGGTTTTGTTGCGCCTGCTGTCGCCGATGCGAAGAGATGTCCTGGACGAGGTGGACCCAATCTTGATTGATGGAGCGAGCCCGTCGATTTCACGTTGATAGCTCCACCAAGTAAGCGCCCACTCATGACGACTACACCCGCATGAATCGATTGCCATCAAGTTGTGTTGGTCAACCATAAACACTCTGAAGCTTGACACTACTGAACAGCGCATGTGAGCGACGCTACAAGGCGATGATGCAAGCACAATCGTCGATGGTAGCGATTACGCTAGTCAGCATGTCCACAGAATGGCGCGGTTGTGTGGGCTTGGCGTGGTCCATCTC